AATTATTACCCGAATATCAATTCGGATTTAGAAAAAATCGTTCAACGTTAGACAATGTGACTACTCTAGTTACTGACATACAAAGTGGATTCTCACACAATTTTTCAACAACTTGTTTATTCATAGATATAAAAGGAGCGTACGATAACATTCAATTAGACATTTTAATGGACAAGATGCAAAAGCTAAAACTACCGGAACTACTTATTTTTAATATTTATAAATTGTATAACGAGAGAAATATTTATATTCGTACAGTAGACAAGTTAATAGGTCCTCAAAAAGCCGCAGTTGGCCTTCCTCAGGGCAGCATATTAAGTCCTATTTTGTACATTATATACTCTTTCGACTTGGACACTATATTCCATAGGAATATAAAAACATTACAATATGCTGATGATATATGTATATATACGGCAGAACAAAATATAGAAAAATGCCATCAAAACTTAGAGGTAGCTTCAGATTCATTAGAAAAGTGGATAAAGAATAACGGATTTTCCATTTCAGAAAATAAGTCAGCAGCTGTTACATTCACTAGGAAGAGGTTTCATCATCCGTCTTCCATAACACTAAAAAATTACACAGTCCCGTACTTATCCTCAATTAAGTATCTAGGTATTACTCTAGATACGAAACTTAACTGGAAATCTCATATTCATTATATAACATCTAAAATTGAAAATGCTATAAACATCATAAAAGTTTTCAGCCACAGTAAGTGGGGGGCAGATCCTAACATTTGTCTTCTATTTTATAAATCTTTTATCCAGTCAATAATCGATTATGGGTGCGTATTATATGGATCGGCCTCTGAATGTCATCTTAAAAAGATTGATCAAATCCAAAATAAATGTTTACGAATCTGTAATGGGTATCTGAAATCTACACCCATAGTTGTTATGGAGGCGGAAAGTTGCATACCTCCACTTCTGTTAAGAAGACAATTCTTAAGTAATAAAAACTTATTTAAGATATACGCAAAAAATGACAATCTTACACACACAATCCATCAGTTAACTATCGAGGTTTTAACAAATCGATATTGGAAATATAAAAAAACTCCTCTACTGATCGAAAGTTATTATAACTACCCAGAAATTAAGGACAATATATTGACTATTAACAACTTCACTTCTTTTAAACACTACGATTTTCGCCCTGTATTCAATTTAATCGATGACTACCCTAGTCTCCCGGAAAAATTACTAAATAAATATTTTCTTAATAAAATTGATTATAAATGGAAAAATCATGATTACATCTTTACTGACGGTTCTGTAATTAATGGAAATACCGGTTTGGCACTTTATCATGTTAATAAAAAAATAAAGCGACTGTATAAACTGCCTAAGGGTTCGTCAATATTCACTGCAGAGATAGTCGGAATTAAAAAAGCACTAATCTATGCTCAATCCCTATCCGGCACTAAGATAGTAATATTCTCTGACTGCAGAAGTGCATTAGAAAAGATAAAAAATATTAACATAACCGACCAGTATGACGAGTTAATTAAAGATGTATATGAAGTACTTACAAAATTAAATAAAAATGGAAAGATAATTACATTATCCTGGGTGAAAAGTCATTGTGGGATAGAATATAATGAGATAGCAGATAGATTAGCAAAAAGAGCTACTACAGAAGGGGAGATGATTAACATGAAGCTACCTTTAAACGATCACGTAAGCCAAATGAAAATAACCATGAAAACTAAATGGCAAGAAAAATACGAAAAAGCCAACTCAGGGAAAAAGTTTAAAATGTTGCTTCCAAAACTAAACACAAAACCTTGGTTTTTTAATGTACAGAATAGAAATTTTATAAAAACAATTTTACGAATCAGAAGTAACCACGCAATGTATCCGGAATATAAACACCGTTTAGGTATCCTTAACGAAGATTATTGCGAATGCGGAAAACATGGTAGTTTAGAACATATTATATTAGAATGCCCGTCTATTCAACAAGAGATCTCTACACTACTTAATAATCTATATAAAATAAAAATAGCCAAACCTTTTAACTTGTCGAGCTTACTTGCAACTGAAGATATACGAGTATATGAGGTAATTTATGAACATACGGTTAAATGTAAATTTAAATTATAAGCACACTAACATAAATCCCACTCTTTTGTATCCATTCCAGGGGTCCTCTCCACCGTGTTACAAAACCCCGCCGAGACGACCCTTCGGCAAATTAGCACTCCTTCTAAATCTCCTTTGTGATAACTAACAAAATTATATGATAGGAAAAAAGCAAAAAAAAAAACAAAAAAAAACAAACAAAAAAAAACAAACAAAACAAAAAAAAAATACAAAAAAAAAAAAAAAAAATTATTCAAAAAGCAAACAATATAATTAAAAAAAAATACAGCTATATTACAAGAATAATCATTAATATAATCTTAAGTATTATGTCGTCAATCAAACGTGTTGTTCATTAAATATAAGATAATATAAGATACGCATTATGTAAAAATTAATACTTACCTGAAGCATTTTCCTTATAACTCTCACACATTTGTTCTGGCCAATTGGCTTAGTTCCAGTGCCATAAAACAAAACACACACACACAATTTAAAATCAATAAAATATTCAAATACATTTTGGATTTCAATGAGCCTTACCCATATATGCCTTTTCTACATTATAAACAACAAAGACAAATATTTTGTTTGTTTGCAAATACATATATCATAGGTACCTGACACCTAAATTTGATTTAACTTACCCTTAGTATTCATTTCAACTGCCACTTCTTGCCACAATTTTCTTTGTATATCTCTCATGTGATATGATTTATCGGTCATATCCCATAGAGGCTTTTTTTCATAAATTAAAGTAATTAATTTTTCAACATCCATCTCGTTCTGTTACAAATACAAATCGACTATCAATTCGTCATAACAACTGCGAAAAATCCCATTTGTTTCGGATAGATCGCACTTCGCATGTTTTCGTCCGAATTCGTACGAAGCAGTTCGGACGCAGTGTACGAGCATCAATAGGTTTCAATGAAACGGGATGCTTCGCACTTCTTCGTCCGATTTCTGACGAACGCAATTCGGACGAAAACGCATCCAAAGGACGACCGGCCTAAGGCTTCGTTGGAAAGGGGAGTGAAGGTTAAGTATGTTGGTGTCAAACCAATATCAAATATGGCAGCATACAAAAAGGGCACATAAACGTATCTTCCGCTCTTATTGGTTCGATCGTTAGTATGAGATATCACGTGATAAGATTTAACGAATACAATGCGAAATGGCGACATGGTGACGAAAAAACAGACATGGCGGCATACCAAACGCTCCTTAGAACCACAATAGTAAAGGATCTATGTATCTATGAGCCCAGCTTTTAAGGAAATTAACATGGAAAGTCCACTCTGGTCGTTTTTGATGCTTTTTGTGTCAAAATCAATGTCAATAACAACGTTACAGCTTAAAATATAGAAAAGCCTAGGAATGAGCGTTTGATTTTCAAAGACTTGACTGGAACTTATACGAAATAATAAGTAGTTTGTCAGTAAGTAATTCAGTTTTATTTTTTAATAAGTTTGAGTATTAAACTGCGCACCCTAGAAGGGGTGGGAAACGACTTTGCAAAACTCCACAATAGATAAATATTCTTTATGATTATATGATGTTTTTCTTTGACAAATAATCCCAAAGATACAATTTTTTTCGCTATTTAGTGCACGTGTTAGAAAGAAATGGGGTACTGAAAAAAGGCAGCGGTAAGAACGATAAATTTATGTAATATTTACCTAGTTATTCACCTATAGATGTTTTAAAACAATATACTACATTCTACACTTACCTAGAACATACATCCGTCATACTAATTTAAAAATTAAACCGAAGAAGAAATATGTAATCAAAAAGGCTAGGATAAAATGTAAAATAGCAAAATCTTAACAAAAAAGCAAAATCTTAAAAAATAAACTGAAAATGACAAACAAATTAATTGATCCACCTATGAGTAAAAGTGATTATTAAAAACAAGAAATGATAATTTGGTTTCAAAAATTCTATACGAACTAGGACACTTAAATTTACTAGTAGCACAAGTATTTTGAAAGAATTTCCTGGCAATTGTGTCCACGATAGGCGTTAAACAGCAGTGACAATAGTATACATCCCTGTCTCACTCCCCGTCTTATATTTATTTCCCTGATTTCAATATAAATTCATTAATTATTCGCAGATGTTTATTATCAATTCGTATTATCACATATTCTCAACCATGTCTGACTCAAGCGTGTCTTAACCTGTCGAAAGTCTTTTCAATGTACGTCACTTTTGGCATTAAGATTCAAGAATGAATACATTTAGAGCAAACCATTCTCTAGTTCCCAACTGTTCTGTGTAAATCTCACCTGTGTATCGCCAATGTTAAGTTCCAGCTTCTCAAAAATGTGGTTATAAACAATTTAAAGAAATATCTTCTGTAAATAACAAGACTGTTCGGTTTTCTAAACAATATGAACAGTAGATAATACTAAATTACGCCAATAAACGAATGCCGAATTTCCAATCGTTCCGCCAGTTCGGAGGAGTAATTTCACGTACTTGCACCATAATTTAGGTTTACTATAAGTGACAGCGCCCACCAAACTGGCGTGGCAAGTAGCACGCGTCTAGCATGTTACTTAAAATGTAATCAATGAAACGAATGATTAGAATGAATGACTTCACTGTCATTTTGGTGTGCGCTGAATCATTCGTTTTCATTGGTTACAATTTAAATAACATGCTAGACGCGCGCTACTTGCTACTTGCCATGCCAACGGCGCCCTCCCTTACGCAGAAGGCTGGATGATGACAGAAGTCAAACTGATTATAAAATAATTAAGGGCGATATTAAACGTGCTCTTAAAGAAATAATATTTATTTATCTGTCGACAATATCGACTATGTATTGAAATACGGATTAAACTATAGAAAGGACAGATTAATTTTCTTGATAGTAATTAAACATATAAGTCAACTTACTTAACTGCTGTTTAGTGTTAAATTCGCTTTTCTTTTTCTTCTTTTCTTTACCGGTATTTGCGACGATGCCGTTTGTCTGTGGAACCGCCGGAATAACGTCGATTATCACTTTCTCTTCTACCTTCTCTTCTGCAGGTGGCGCCGGTTTCTCTTGCTTGCCGACGTCGGTCTGTTGGGTCTTGGCGTTTTTCTTGTTTTTGGCGGCTACGCCGGCTTCGGTGGTTTGTTTCTTCTCTTTTACTAGCTTCTCCTTAACCGGTTCTTGTTTGAAAATATCGTCTCTCTGGAAGTATAGTTGTTATTAAATATAATTGAATCATTTAATACTTTATTCATAATATTTAAACTGTCATGTATAAAGAAGAGTCATAAAAGGCATATACGATTTCTAATGTTTTTAAGAGTGTTAGTATGACTTTAAAACAAACGCCAAAAAAGAATAGTATGTACTTTGAAATACTTATACTGAAGATTATTTTCAAGAAAATCGAAAAAATTTTATCATTTAGTATTTAGTAATTCAACAGAAAAGCAAGGCGGATCGTCCATAAAAAACGAGATCCGATAATTACTTGTTGCAAATAGACTACTTCTAAGGTACTTCAGTTGTAGTAATTTATAGAAGCAAAGAAAAAGAGACACTACATCCAAAAAAGTCATGAAAATTTTTTTACTGAAAATCAATTTTAGAATTTAGTAAGAATAAAGAAACGCAAGGACAATTTCTACGGCTGTTTCGGTAGAGTGCCTTTCTCAAGTGATCTGTTTTTAGTATGTGTTTACACTTTATAGCCTTTAAATGAATAGGTTGCGGAAATAACTGTTTGTCTCAAGTTGGTCATACAGAATTATGTCTGTATTTTTTTAATTTGTTGATTTCCATAGAACCTAATAAAGATAGCTTAATTCCTTTATTTTGGAAGTGAAGAATTTGAAATTCGCCATTAAAAGAATGATTATGGTCCAGAAGGTAAAGTGCGTACGTAAAATCTATTTTTTATATTATTGAAAACCTTTTTATGTTCTGTTATACGTTTGTTAAAAGTTCTACCAATTTGACCAATGTAAGTTCATGGGCAGTCGCCACATTTAAGTTTGTATACACGACTGTGTAAGCGCTTTTTCTTTTGACTCTTGTTTTCAACATACTTGCCTATATATATATATATATATATACATATATATATATATATATATATATATATATATATATTTATATATATATATATATATATATATATAATATATATATATATATATATATTTATATATATTATATATATATATTTATATTTTTTTTTATGAACCTAAGCCCAATAGAATCCACTAAAAAATATATATTAAGGTTCAAGAACTAAACTCAAACAATATATATATATATATATATATATATATATATATATATATATATATATATATATATACGAAGAATGATCACAGCTGTCCAATTATTAATTAGTATAATGGTAAGGTTAATTGATAGTAGTATAATTTGTTTCTTAAATGTTCAATGTTTTTTAATATTTGTATTGTACTATCACACTGGAGGAAAATAACAAAAATGCACTTGTATTGTTTGAGTTTTCAAGCCACCATATAACACAAACAACTTATTTTTTTGCTATAAAAAAAATCTTCAAAAAAGTTTTTCAACATGGAACTTTCAAATACCACTTTTGCCTGCAACCTCACACAAGTAAGTGTTTCACTACATCTTATGTAAAATACACAATTTCACCATTTTGTAACATATTGTAGCATTCGTCTGAAGATGTTAAAGAAATTTAACGAAATATAGCGAAATCGTTGAAAAGAGCACACTTTGGCTTTCATTATTCAGCTGCTAACCCAATTAACCTTACCATTATACTATATATATATATATATATATATATATATATATATATATATATATATATATATATATTAAGTTGTTGTTTGTTCTAAAAGCTGGTGTTATTCCTTTCTTTTTTATGTGTTTGGCTATTTTTGTTGACATCTTGCCTGTATATGTACTTGAACAGAAGGTACTGGGTTTTTTCTCTGGTGGTGAAAATACTAATTTCAGAGCTTTCTTGTGTAGTTTTTGATTTAAAATTTTATTTATTGTTTGTTCGTTGTATCCATTGTTTACTACTATTTGCTTAATGATATTTAATTATATCTCAAAGTTGGTTTTTGACATCGGAATTAGTAAGTAGCAAAATACTATAATTCAGGTAAGTAATAATATAATGATGTTTTCCTAGTCTCCACGAAGTGTTGCTCAGACTCTCAATGCACTTAAAAGATAAGCTTCTTCTTCTTCTTGCATTTAGCGTCTCTTGTGGAGGTTGCCGATCAACATGACTATTCGCACCATTAAAACTGCTGCGCGAAATAAATCGACCGATGTCATTTCAAATCATTCATGAAGGTTAGAAGAATGCAGTCTTTGGCTATCCATCCTCTGAGAATTTGACTGTAGACCCACATTTCAAAGGAAAAACATAACATCTAAGCATTCTGCTTCTAACAGTCATATAGATAGATTGTGCCTGTTGAATATGTGAAATAATTTCTTCAGCAAGTTGGTTTTCTCGTTGACGACAGCTGAAAAATATTTGTACCGAGAACAACTCAATCACCCGTCCATTAGAGACTAATTTCCTGCAATTATTCTTAACTTTTTTTGAGATAACCATCATTTTGGATTTCTTGATGTTGGTAGGTAATCCACGTGTCATACTAACCTTATATACTTTATAAAAGTCTCTGTAGGTCTCCCAAATTGTTGGTTATTATAGCTGCATTTTCAGCATATTTGATGTTGTTAACAAGAACTTCATTTATCGCTATTCCAGCTGAATATTTATTTTCTCTGACAGAAAGTCTTTCGAGTTTTATTCTTGCCGTTTGACCAAAGTGCTTAATATTATATTATTTGAACATCTTGATAATCAATGTTTAGTTTTTGCAAGATTTCCAATAGTTTCTCGTGCTTAATATCAAAAGCGATAAGCTTAAGGCGACTCTATTCTAATTGTAACTATTTTACAACGAGTTAACATTATTAGCTAGTTACAAAGTCGCATATCGAGTTGCTAAAGCAGGGAAACCACATATAATTGCGAAAATCTCAGTTTGCCATAAGAACTTGATATGGTTGAAATTATGGTCAGTAAGCAGGAGGCACACAAATTAAAAAACATACCACTTTCTGAGAATAAATACTATTTCACGCAGAATAAAGCATATGACCAAGGATATTCAAGAACAAGTAGTCGAAAAATTAAAGAACAACCAATATTTTGCTCTGGAGTTTACAGATGTTTCCGACTGTGCAGTTTGTAGTATTTGCTCGTTTTGAAGCAGATGACAGTATCACGGAAGCAATCTTATTTTCCAAAGCACTTGTACGATATGTTTTTAGAAAGCACTTGCGACTACAATATTGATTGGAAAAAATGTATCGGTATTTGTAGCGATGGGGCTAAAGACTGATCGGTCAAAAAGAGTTTGTATTTATTCTTTCCATCTCTCTAGTTTGTCTTCTGTACCCATAATTATTTCGTTATTATCATTTTTTAATATTGTTGCTTGTCTCTTTTCTGTCTACCTGTCATTTCTTTTACTTTTTTATGACTATTAAAGGTGTCGTATTTTTCCTGAAGTTGTTCGATTTCTAGGCATTTTGTTGACATCCAGTTTTCTTTCGCCTCCTTGCACTTTTTTCTAATGATTTTATTGATTCGCTTGTATTCTATTGGGCTTGTTTTATGTTTTCGTCTTACGTCTATGAGGTCCTTGATCTCTTGCGTTATTCATTCTTATTTTTTGTTGTGTTTTATGAACCCGATGTCTTCTTCTTGTATCTTTGTTATTTTTGTTTTTAGAGCTGTCCATGTCACTTCAATGTCTGTCTGTACCAAGTTTTCGATCGTTTTTATTTCTTCCTCAAGCTTGACTATTTCTTTTTTCTGTTCAGAGTTCTTCTAAAATCCATTATAATTGGATTGTGATCGCTCTGTATATCAGCTCCAGGGTATGTTTTCGTAGATTGTATGCACTTCTTAAAGGTGTTATTGAGCAAAATGAAGTCAATTTGATTTCTAACAATTCTGTCTTTTCTGTCTGCAGGTGATTGTCATGTGTATAGCCTTCTAGAATGTTGTTTGAAGGCTATTAACAGGCCATTGGCTATTAACAGATTGTTTTCTACGCAAAATTGTACAAGTATATCTCCTCTATTATTCCTGGTACCTAGACCGTATGCTCCTATGTGATCTCCTTCAGCACCACGACCAATTTTAGCGTTAAAGTCACCCATGATCATTGTTATCTCACCTCTTTTTGTCAGTCGCATTATTTCATCTATGTTGTTATAAAATTTTTCGATTTCTTCGTCTGATTCGACTTTTTCTTCCAGCCGGTGATGCCCCGAGTAAGGCTTCCCGACCCCCTAGGAGGCACGACCCACAGATTAAAAACCACTGATCTAAAGGAACGATTTTGACAGTCTGTATGATTTTTCTGGTACCACGTTGGCCAAATCGGCTAGGATAAATTTAAACTAAAAGTTTTCGCTGCCATTACACTATTGTTGGCTATAACGTTAACGCATTGAAAATAACGAGTGTTATCTGGTCAAAACGTCAGCTAAATTTTTCCACCAAGAGGAACAGAACATTTGAAAAGAAACGAAAACATATACAAACAGAAACAAAAACATTGCATATTGTATTTTCGGTCTTTATTGATTTGTTTTTAATTGTGCCATTTATTTTAATAAATTTTGTTAACTGTTAATATAAATTATTAATAATAAAAGAAATGAGAGATTTAGCATTTATATCGACTTGTACGCAAACTAGAACATATGTAAACCTTTGCGAATCTTCGATAGGAATGCTGCTCAAAAATTTTTGAACTAAAGCATTACATTCCTCATGTGCACCAATTCTTGACTGTGCAATTGTGATACGGGCTGGATTTCGTTTTCCTCTAATCTTTTTTAGCTTGTACTAGCATATATATGTTCTGATCTGTAACGTATTTTATCTTTCACTGTTGTCTTCATGAATTGTACATTTTTTTTCTATCTAAACAACGACGTTTTTTTTCTATCCTGGAATATTTTGCAACGTCATAAACGTTACATTTTTATTTATTATCTTCAAATAATTATTTTAAGTAGTGATTGCATAAGCCCAAGATGACCTCTGCTACATGATGAAGAAACAGAGTACCTATCTACAAGTGAAAAAGACATAGAAGTTCTACAGATTAATTACAACGTAACAA